CAGCATCTGTATTTTCCTGGGAAACAGTGCACATTTTTAGTCTTAGCTTCTGTTCTTCCTTCTTTCAGTGAAATTATATATCTTTGAACACATTGATTTTTTCCCCCATGCAGCATACTAAATTTCAAAGTTACCAATTATCCTTATGTTATATCATCTTTATCTGTCCATATGAGTTATTTTCTAATTGCTTTTGTCTTTTTGTTCTTCACATCATATGTTTATCTCAAGCAACATTATTTTTATTACTATTGTTTTTATTATAATATTACAATAATGTTTTTCTCTTAAATGCCTGTTCTTTTCCTTGCTGCTCCCATTTTATTAATGCTCCTGTACTGGTATTATTTTGGTCCTTCATTTATTTCCTTTGCTTTGAAGTCTCTCCTTTCATCTCATATTGCTGTTTTATCATCTTGTCTTTGAGCTTTCATTTTACTGAGTTTATATTCTTATGATCTTTTGTTAATTTATTTCACAGTATAAAGCATTCATGGAGAAGTTTCTTCTGTTCCTTGGATTATGTTTTCTTCAAGACTGGAATCTTTGTCTTTTATATTTTGCTTCTTATTTTGTCTCTCTCTTGATTTTCTTTTTTGTATTGGTTTTCATAGTTGATGTACTTTTCTTCTTGCTCATTTTCAGCATGAGTAGCACTGTCCTGACCTAATTTTATTTATTCTCATGTGTATTGGAATATTATCTTTGATTTCTTTCCCAACTCACCTTAGACACGTTTTTCTTCCCCTATGAACTACAGTTTGAAGTTTGGATATTATGCATGGAGGGGGTGGAGGGGAAGAGCCCCTCTAGAGCTGTATACAGCCTTGTTGCAAGAATTTGGCTCTGCTGACTCTTGAAATTTTGTTAAATGTTTCCAGCCAAAATTCTCTTCACCTTATTTGGTGCTGCTTTTTCCCATTGCAGGTACTCTCACAATTAATGTTGTTCTTCCACATCAGCTTACAGTTCTAGAACCTGTACAGCTCATCAGAGTGTTATTCTCAGTTTATTTTCAGGTTTTGCTCATCCTTCTGCAAACATTTCTGCTCCTCCTCAGACAAAAAAAAGAAGAAGAAGAAAGATAAAGATATTCCTGTTTTTTTCCAAATGTGTGGGTATTTGAGAGAATTTGCTGGGTTTTGACAATTCACCAGTCCTACTCCTGCTAAGCATGGGTTTGCAGGTGGCGCAGGCGGAGGCTTTGAGGCCGTGTTGGAATTTTATGTTTCTTTCCATAGTTGCCTCTTTTTGAAGTTTATGCCATGATTCTATATTTCCTCCCTTATTTGGATGCTGTTAGTGAAGGTTTTTCTTTTTTTTAAAGAGTTGTGTTTTGGGTTATATTGCTAGTTATTGGTGAGGAAGGTTATGATCCAGTTTCTCTACTCAGAAGTCCCTCAAATTCTCCTTTTTCCAATTTACTTTTTAGTCCTTTCCCTTCTGAATAGCCCACTTGTCCAGCATTTTGGTATCATCTTTCCAGCCCCAGTGATACTTTTCTTTTGAGCTTATCAATGCCTTCTTCCTGGCCATTTCATTCCATCCCAGTTCTTATCCTGCCAACCCTGTCCTTCTTTCAACATTTTTTATTGTTTTCTCTCTCTTACCCCCCACTCACCCATACCATGGTAGTTATTCATAAAACATCTGATAGAAATTGTTAACTCTCTGTGATTATCAAGCCAATGTCAGTTTATCCAGTAGAATCTACATGCACCTCCACTTATTGAATATTTCCACAAGGACTAAAATATAATCAACAAATTAGCCTTGTGCCCAAAGTCAGTGTATTGATTGTAATGCTTAATTTAGTGTTGTTAGGTGTTAATCAAAAAAACTGTCTGGAACTGACCTCGTTAGCAGATAGATTATTAGAAGAGTAGGAAATGAAAAAAAAAATTCTCAAGGAATATAGTTTTTGATTGGGATATAGGCTTGTAGCAATTTCCAAGGATCCAGGCAAAATCTCATCCCAATCCACTATCAAAACAGCAGGGTTTGTTTTTTGTTCATTTGTTGCCTTTGGTTTTAATCTTTTCTCAGACACACTGTAGAGGTGACAAACTGAGACCTCTAACATTTGTTGCTGAGTAACTTTGTCAATGATCCTATAATCGGCCTTGAAGAAAATCCCTCCGTGTTCAATTAAGATTTGAAGTTGCTTTTACAAAACTTCCAGAGGTGTTGAATGAAGCGAGAGTAATAAGAAAGGCCTTTCTTTTTATGTCTTTCTGTCTTTCTGTTGTGGAGAGTCAGGAAGAGCATCTCCCATGAGGGCACTCTAGGGGCATCTGCCAATTTACAAAAAGAACCAGGAAAGCTAGAGTTTTGTGGTTACAGATGGCGTCTAGGAAAGGAGTGGGAAGGGTCAGTTGGGTGGATCGCCCTGAGAGATAGTGTGCTGACTGCCTGGGTTTGACAAGTGTCTCCCTGAGGTGGGTGGACACTGCATTCACATTGCCTGTGGGAACTGTGTCTCAGAGGTGCTGAAGGTGTTAAGTTGCTGTGACCCAGTGTGATCCCTGAGACCTGCTGTCCCCAGCATTGGCTGGCAGCCTCTGGCACCCTGCCATGTGGCTACAGGTCTCAGCTCCAAGGCAAGAAGAGGCAGATGGCCACCTGCTAGGGATAGGACAGCTGTCTTTCTTAACAAATGAAGCAGGGTTTCTTAGGGACCTCCTGCACATTTCCTGCCTTCACACAAAACTGTGGAACATTGGCCTTTGCAGTGCTGTAAAGAAAGATCTGATTGTAATTGGAAAGTGCAAAAGGGCAGAATTAAGGTTAACTCTGAATTTCCTGCTTCTCATGCAATTAAATTTCTCCCCCTTGCCATTGAGTTAATGTAATTTTCCCCCCAACACACATACATAATTGAGCATAAATTGCTGGACAAATACGGGATATGTTGATATGGACTTTAAGAAGATAAGTGAAAGTAGTAAGTAGTTACAGTTACAATACTCAGATTTTTAAGAAGCATGAATACTGTCAGGAAGCCAAGGAGCTATTTGCAAAATAACCTAGTAATATATCAGATTGTGATAAATTAATTTTTAATACAACTTTTCTTACAAAAATAATTAGAATAATAAAAAGAATGACTTAAAGAACTTCAAGCAAAAACAATGCTTTGTATTCTAAGTATTCCTCGTTTGCTTTCTTGCTGTTGTTTTTTCCCACATACCCATTGCAGGTGCTAGGGAGGACTTCGGATGCAAGGCATGTTTCTCTTTGGGGTTGTCCCATCCCATTTTGACTGCATCATCCATGGTTTTAATACTAGTTTTGTTATTCTTTGTATAAACCATTTTAAGTGAAGCTGCAATAGACAAGTAATGCTTAGAAGGAGAACAAGGTCCTGAGAATTCAGTCTTTCATTCATGCTCTTAAATAGGAGACTGCCTCTGGAGAAATGGGCCTAACATACGGAGGGGGTGGCTGGCTTTGCCTGAGGTTTAGTGCAGTAACAGAGGAGGAACACCTTGTCATGCAAATGGTTAGCAGATTTCCTTTCCTCTGTAATTCCATCTGTTTGTAACACGAAAGTCTCTGCTGCTTCCATCTCCCGTGGAGAGTCAGATGGATGTCAGGAGACCCCTGCACTGACCCCGGACCCACAGATGCAGCTTGGGGCGGGTGCCTGTTCCCATGTGAAGGGGCGCTCATTCAGAAGTGTCATATTTGGTCATCTGGGCTCACACATGGGCCGCTTCTTTGAAGGACCTGTTTTAAAAAATTATTTTCAACTTATTAAAAGAAAAACTTTGAATGTAGATCTTATTTATTGCTTCATGTCATCAAGTCCCTAGAAAGATAAATATTGCTCTTCGTTTCATGTTCTGTATTTATCTCAAATGTATCTGATCAAACCTTCAGATAAATGGAGGGTTATTAGTAGGCTTACCCATCAAATAAAAATACCAACTCCCAGTTCAATTCAAATTTCAGATAAACAACGAATTTTCTTTAGTGTAAATTTGCCTCCACATTTACTGGGTGTCCTATATTTTATCTGACAAACCTAGCTGAGATGAAGTCAGGATTCCAGAATTAGATGGGCAGAAAAGATTGGTCACCATACTCAAGGTGTAAATTAAATATAAATGTGATATTGAACATTTTCATATGTAAATTTTTTTGGCCTTATGGTATTGTGGTTATGTTTTAAAAGAGTCCTTATCTTCTAGAGATATTTACTGAAACGTTGATTGGTAAGATTAGGTCATGTTTGGGATTCAGTTCTAAGTAATACAAGAGGTAGGTAAGTGGATGGCAGATTGGCTGTGGATGGATGGGTACGTGAAGGTTAATTATACTCTTGGCTGCTTTTAAGTGTGTTTGAATTTTTCCGTAGCAAAGGAAAATATAGGTGTGTGTGTGTAAATTACTCCTTTAGGTTAAAAAAAATCTATTACTGAAACATCCAAAATGTCAAGCAGTTGAGGACTCGCGCAGTGGCAGTAGAAGAGGCTGCAGATGGAGGCAGGTGCTAATGAATCGTTTGGGGATTGGGATATATTTGTTCCTCCACTGGGATATTAATTGTGTTGATTTTGTGTTTATCTTTGCATAGAGCAATGCAAGAAAGTTGCGAGTTAGTTACTAGCCTCTGGGAGTTGAAACTGTTCAGAATATAGCAGGACCTCTAGGGAAGTTCTGAAGAGGATAACAGGTTAAGTAGAGGGGCTGGTGCCTTGTGCCACAGCCAGCCTTAGCTCTATGCAAAATGAAATAAACTGTGGGGTCAGGTCAAAATAACAGACCTTACATTTTTTAATTTGTTTGTGGTTTTTACAAAACAAGTCTCTTTAACTGATTGGCCTGAAGTCCTGGTGAATTAATAAATTGAGTATACAGTCTAATTAATCAGCCCAGGTCTCCCTTTCCTAGCAGGTGAGCTCTCAGCAGCTGGGAGCTCTCGGTCTTCAGCATGATTCCGGTCAGAGTTATTTACTGATGGACATCTTTAATGGTTTGCTTTTTTCTTATTCCAGGATTTCCTTCAAATGCTGTTGGAGAACATCCCAGAAGAAAGAAGGTGAGGACCAATTTAGGAATTGAGAGCCCAGTTATAATGTTAAAAACAACTTTGCTGTTGTTTGCTGTGTCACAGTCTTCCTCTCACACTAGAGGCAGGGACCTAGCCCAGCCAGCAGGGGTCCTGGGATGACCAGCCAGACCTAGACACGGACCACTTGGATATTGGGAGCCAGGACACACGGCAGATGTCAGGAGCCCCGAGAGTAGTATAGGAGGCAAATTACAGACGCTCTGTGGCTTCAGCTGCTGTGGGAAGAGTGGAGGGAAGTTCTAAAAGTTAGGGTGGCTCTAGTGGATGTGGCTACCCTATACATGTACACCCAATGTAGACCCAATACAAGGCAATGCTGCTTAATCGAAGGCAAAAAACTAATGTAGTGACAAGAGTCTGGGATTTGGAGTCAGGTTCTTCTAGGTTCTAACCCCAGCTCGGTCCGTTGTCCTGTATGAGATTCATCCCTCCAAATTTCAGTTTCCCACTCTGTCGGGCAGAGTTTTAGGGAGGGTTAAAGGAGATACCGAATGTGAAAATGAGGTTCTGAGTTAATGACTGGCTTAGTTAAAACAATGATCCTCTCACACGTGTCAGGTGCTGTGTACTAGGTCAGCGCTTGGCAAACCGTGTTGTCCTCAGCACTGACTCATCACCATCAGGGTGACCGTTGTAAACCAACACTTACTGGAAGGTTCCTGTGTGCAGGCACTTGGTGAATACTCTAGAGAAGGCTACTGGGTGCATTATGTCTCTGTCCCCTCTGTACCAATAAGACTGAGGTCTGAGGGGCTGAGTGAGCAGCCAGGTGTCTCGCAGCTATGTGCGGCCAGGCTGGGGCCAGTGCCCCGGCAGCCTGGCTCTGGAGCCTCTGCTCATATCCACTGTGTTCCGCAGGAGGAAACTGAGGCTCCCAGAGGATAGTAACTTTCTAAGACCCCTTCCTTAGGAAGGGAGATGGCGTGGATAGGAACAAGTCTGGCTCTTACCCATGCTTATTGCAGTGCGACTTTGGTGCCCTGGAAAGGAAAGGGCTTCTCTTTTCTGGAAGTGACCAGTTTTAGTCTGGCTGACTACCTAGAGGGATTCATATAGGAGGTTTAAGACCTACATCAAAGTTTAGACTAGATTCATTCCAACCCCTTCCTTGTAATTTCCTCTCTTAATTTTGGCACTAAAAGGGAATACCCTCAAATAGAATTTCTAGTAGCAAAATTGAGATTCAAACATTAGAAAGGGCATCTTGAGAAATTAAACATTTCTTTGAAGAAAAGCCAACATTACTTTCCTTTCTGATCCACAGTTCTAGCTATGTTCTTATGCTCATAACACATTTCCAAATGTGGAAATGAATTCTTTCACATAGACACAGTCTTGGGTCCCTGCAAGGCCAACACCTCCACGCTGATGACCTGTCTCATAGGGGTCTTCTGGGTAAGATGTCAGGGCTTTGCTACTGGGAGGTGACAGGCAAATTCAGGGGAGGGGCCAGGGACCATAAAGACATGGAGATTTTTTTTTTTT